CCTGGGGAGCGCGAGCAGGTGGTGCTCAGGTTCATGTTTAAATAGGGCGCTTGTGTCAATAGCGTACGCTTTGCTTTTCGGAGATGGGTGACTTGTAGGCTGCTTCGGTATGGCCGGGAAACGCAGCGTCCCGCATGGAGCGGGGCGGGAGGGTTGCTTCGTTGTGAGGCGGGATTTGTGTTTGGGGCAGAATTAGCAGGTCTGGGTTTTGAGCGTGGCACGCGTAAAACAGTGAAGGATGCTGTGTGTGGTGACAGACAGTTTGCTACAGAACGCTGTTTCCCTGCAGAAGTACTGTCTTGCCGAAGATGTGTATGAGATGTACTTTTTTTTTCCCCAAAATGACGAAATCCTGGTAGTAAAGCACTGTATTTGGGGGGGGGGAGGTAAAAGCTATGTTAGGCACAGAACAGGCTTAGGTGGTCGAGTGGCCGTGGGACGGTGCCGGATGGGAAGACAAGGAGAAGAGCTGTAGAGGTGAGCGGGGCGGGTTGGTGGGGTGGCTCTTGCCGGAGGGGTTCGTTACTCGGGGTGTAGGGATCGAGCGGAGCGGGCAGAGCACGCCCCACGGCACGCAGGTGTGTGCTACTGAAGAAAGGGGAAGCTTGACCAAAAAAAAACCCCCAAGCCCTTTGGGCGTTGATGGGTTCTGTCGCCTGCGTTGAAGAAGGGTGAGATTGGGGCAGTTGTAGAGCAAAGGTTATGAGCGCGCCCAGGGAAGGAAACCCTTTTCTTTCACAAAAGGAAACCTGAAGAGTTTGGCTTGACTGACCCGAAGCGGGGTTTGGCGAGGACTGCTTTCGGACGGCGCGGGGGTTGGGGAGAAAGTGAACTTCCCCAGGGGGAGGAAGAGGGAAGGGTGCCGGGACCCTGGTGAAGGGGGGTTACAGTCCCCGCTTTGACGTACGAGAGTTTGGGTTCTGACCCAGGCGGAGCCGGTGGTTCTAAGCGAGTTCATAAGGAGCCAATTAATGTGCCGGAGCGCTAATTGAAGGGGTGGCTCAGCTGACGTCAAGATACGGGAGTACCTGTACGAGCTGTAACCTTGGAGGCGCGGGAAGGCTTTGGAAACGTCGGGCTTGGTCCCGGCGCTGGAGAGCTGGCAGGCGAGGGGCGTGCACGGGGAGGGCTGGTGCTCCAGCTCTCGGTGCCGTTGCGTGCAGCTCAACTATGCGAGTGGGAAATACTTGACCGTTGTTTGCTTCAGAGATTACCTCAAAGTGGTTTGCAGCCGTGGTAAACACCACCCTGCGGAAAGGCCGTTCCTCCCCGGGGGGGGGGAGCGCGGGCGGGCACTGATCTCTGCCGAGGAGGAGGTGGTAACGCCGGCGTTTCTCTGCACTGGGGTTCGGGCACCTTGTCACCTTCGTGCAAAGCTCCCGACGTTGGGTTCTTGGAGAGCCGGCGGGCGTCGCACCTCTGCGAGAAGGCTGCTGATCCTCCCCGTTGAGTGGAAACGCCGCGTTTTCGTTTCACTCGGAAAACGGACGGGAATGGAGCAACGCTGGAGTTCTTTCTCTCTTCGGCTTTCCACACCGAGGGGCGAGAGGCCGGGTCGCTGCGGCGGGTGGGCCGCTCCGCCACGGGGGGCGGGGGGGCGGGTGCGTGGGGGCGGTGGCCCTGCCGCTCCGCGTCCCTGCTGCTGTGCCTCTGCCCCAGCGTCGCGCCTGCTGCGGCCAGCCCCTTCCCTTCGCGCTCCTGTCTGCACGGGCTGGCGTGTACCCGCGGTGCTGTTCAGCGCTGGCGTTTGTAAAGCGCTTTGAGATCCTGTAATAAAACTCTTCACGGTGCGGAGCTCTGGTGCGTTTCATGCCTCTAGACCTTTTTATTTTCCCCTGTAAAATCTCTTCTGTCGTCGTACTGTTAACAGCCGGACGTGCAGTTGACCGAGTAGGAAAGCCCGCTTCGCTGGGTGAACCAGGGCTTTCCCCAGCTGCTTTGGTTTTTAATTTCTGGTTCTCATCCACAGCAGCCAGCGTGGCTCGCCGTCTTCAGGGGGAGTGTCGTGTTCTCTGGTGGACGTAACGGACTTCGCAAATAGAGGAACTAAATTAATCGCAGAAACGTGCTGTAAACCAGTTTTGATAGCGCTAGGAAAAGTTCGGTGGAGCCGTCCGTGCCTTCTGCCGTACTCTCAGTTTTTAATTAACACCACGTCTCCGAGTTCGTTAATTGTGTTACTGAGATGGTTTTGGAGTGAGCCGAGTGCTGGGAGCGGTCGCTCCGGCCAGGCGCGGCCTGGGCAGCCCTGCGCCGCCTCTTCCCCCCTTTGGCTTCTCGGGCTGAGGATGAAAATGAACCTGAGGCAGCGCCGGCTTAACTTCCCTCGCGGGGAATGCTGGCTTCCAGGCACGGACCTCACGAGCTGCGGCTGTTGGGTAAAACTTACTTCAATTTATTTTAATGTCTTACATAAATTAGCGGGAACAGGTTCCGCTGGAAGGCAGCGGTCAGAGCACGTTAGCTGTTCTGCCGGCGCTTGTTCCGGGAATGTATTTTCTGGGATCTAAACGGATCGAAACCAAGGCACCAAGTGTCTTTTTTACGGACGTGTTCTCCCCGGAACTCAGTGTTTTCTCAAGAGTCCATTGGCTCCGAAAATGGAAAGGGGTAGTGAACACAAGATGGAAACGCCTTTGTTAAAGCGGAGGGGCCAACCAAACTTAACCCCCTTTCCTAAACCACGTTGTTTTCCATCGCGAGGACAGAAGCAGGTGGGTTTCTTGGCTGGTTGCGCATCCCCCGGTGGAAGCGGGCAGGCTAGCCGCCCTTGGCGGCCGCGGCCTTACCTCCCCGGTGCCACCGTGCTTTTAATCCAGCAGCACTGGAGCAGCTCCCCGCCACTCGTGCATGGGGAATCTGCCTTTTCAGATGGTCCCGCGCTTCCAATAGTGCCGCTTTGTTGGTACACTGAGGGCAATTGTCTGCCCCGGAGCTGTGTGGTCCCTCTGTCCTGCCCTCGGCCGGCGCAGCTGCCCGTTGGCAGCAGAGCCTTCATTGTGCAAACAGTTCGGGAAGCGCAGCGGGGAGGGAGGGAATCTGTCCCTAATTGCACATCACACTGATAGCGGAGTACTTAATAAACCTAACATTAGCACTGAAATAGAAATTGTTAGAAAACTCGTGGTTTCTCCTTGAAACCACAGTTTGGGTTTTTTTGTTGTTTGTTTTGGTTTTTTTTGAACAGAAACTTCTGCTTTAGAACAGCGGACTCACTCACTGATCTGCTCGCGTTCGTCGTGGCTCGAGATTTCTTACTCCTGATAACAGCAGGTAGTTTTTAGCTGTACAGCAAAATTACAGTAATTTCTGGATTGGCTAAAAATAGCTACAGCTTTGGTAAGAGTCCACTATGCCGAGTGCAAAATAACGCTTGCTGCACCTGCACGGTGAAGAGCAGTTTATCTTGAATTGCAGTTGAAGCTATTTCAAATAGCTGAATTTAAAGAAAAAAAAAAAAATCGAGATGCCGGGAAGATCCCTGTGTAACAAATATTCCCTAAAATCCCTTTCCCGCACGCCTGAAGAAGGTGAGTCGGACCGCAGAGCCTGACGTGCCCACCCGCACTGCGCGCTCCTCGCAGCGCTTTGTCTCGCCCCGGCAGAGCCGCGGGA